TCTTCCTTTCCTTCGAACTCCCAAACATACCGTTAGCATTATATTTGGGGCTGTCTTTATGGCAAGCAAAAGGCTGATGACGGCCTAAATTATATGCCTCACTATCCCCACGCCTTTTTCCATGCATAATCGGCATGCCAGGTGTTTAATAAGCGCCTAATGCCAATTCTCACCTAGGCGAGAATATAATTGTACGTACTCCTTAACACTTTGTCTTTCCATTTAATAATTCGCGGTTTCTACAATTTTTGAAAATTCAACCAGGTAATGTTTACTTTATTATTCTGACAAACCAAGTTTTGATGAATGGATGGAATATATAATTTCACTCTATCGTGCCTCTGGTCAAGAATTGCTATTCAACTAGGCCAAAAGCTCAATCAATGGTTTGTTTTTTCTTTATACGTACTTTGGAAGTAGCTAGGCTGATCGCGTACTCGACCGACGTAAAGAATTGTTTTAGATAAATTTTATACTTCGTGTGATTTTTTTTGTCCTAATAACTAATTCATCTTTTGAATGTGTGATGAAAAAACCCACTAAAAGTGCAAAAAAAAGAACAGCCTTTAGAAAATGTTCATAAAAAAGCAACTCAAAAGACCAAAAATAGTACTCCTTAATTACCTGATCACTTCCAAAAGTAACATCCTTGACCTCAAGTGAAGCAATGTTCATAATATTGCAGGAACTCAGTAGATTGATGATGTTAACAGTAGAGAGCGGCTTCACCTCCAAGTCATCCGACACCATATACGTCATCCCCTCTTTCACAAATCCAGACTCCATTGCTTCGGCCTGAATCGTAGCACTCCCCTTGGGAAAAATCAGACCACCACAAGGTCCACAACGGGGACAATGGTACGATTTGTTGCCGGAAAACAAGTCGCCGGTCAAGAGAAAAGGCATTGAATTGGATAGTAATGAATCTTCTTTTTTCAAGAGGGGTCCCCTAGCCTTGGTGGGATGAAGGTGAGTGTCACTGAGGTTCACGACGCTTTTGTGGAGTATTCCGAGGGATCCACCGCCGGTCTCATATTTGAGAAGCTTGGAAACAGCTGCAAGAGGGAGGGAGAGGATGTTGACCACGAAGTCAACGAAGGATTTGTCTGCCTCCGCAAAGATGACTTTTCCGGCCTTTTCGTCAATGAAGAGCTTCAAACTCAACGTCCCCGACATGGCCGGATGAATGAAGAAACTAGCAGCTAGGTACTTAGGTAGATTTAATGATATATGTGTGTGGTTTCATCAATGGATACTAGGCGGCTAATAAGGCATCCATGTATACATACATCGATCTATGTATGTCCATGCGACAATATAATGCATCATGCGGCATGTATGAGAGGAGTTAATTAATTATTAAACATCGAGCAGCGCGCATCACCGATCTGTTAATTTCCCAATGCCCGGAGAACGATGAGCCAGTTAATTCCCGATGAGCGGGGTGGGTATACCTATTTATGCACTCCCTAAAATTGATTAAGGCTTTGTTTCCAACCACTTCTGCTTAAATAAAAGCACTTTTGAGAAAAAAGTGATTGGTAGTAAAGTTGGTAGTGTTTAGTAAAAAAAGTCCTTTTTGTGTAATAGAAAAAGTAATAAGTAGGTTCTACACGGAAGCCGAGAAAGTAAAAATTGGTAGTGTTTGATAAAATAAATGTTTTTTTCTTAAAAAAAGTTAAAAACACTTTTTTTAATGGGTGGCAAACAGACCCTAACTATGAAAGTATGAAGCACGGAAACTCTCTCACACTCACGTTTCTCCGTTTCGGAAACTCGGAAACGTATCGGAAACTCAGAAACTTCTAATTCCCGTTTCGGGGCCATTTCCATAATTAAGAAGAATTGGGAAACCCGTTTCCCTAAATAATTAGCTTTTCGGAAACCCTGAATTTTCAACTTTTTTTCCTTTTTAAGAGGTCCTATGATGAAAAATAGTGTCTTTTGAAAAAAATAGTGATTTTTTGTGTTATTTCTTCGTAGCTACATTGTGGCATGTCATAACGCAAAGCATTGCTACCAATGATGAATTGCATTCTAAATTATACTTCTATATAATTTGAGCATCTACCAATTATACTTCGTAGTACTATGTAATTAATTCTAAATTTGACCATGTAAAATGTTTGTATTAAGGAAATTTACCGGGATATGACTAAAACTCAATGAGTTTCTCAATTTATGATCTAACTAGTTTTTATACTGTTGTATGACCGAAAATCCAAAAACAAATAGAAAAATCGTTTATATTTAAATGTTGAATGACGAAAATACCCTTGTTTAAAATATATGCATTTAGCACTAATTTCGTTCAATAAAATTATTGCACTTTATATTGCCGTTAATGCAGAAAATTAATGCACGTCTTTATTGCACATCCGGTAACAATCACTGCACTTCCGCAAAATTAATTCTCTTCTCATTCACTTGAGGAATTTGTTTTTGTTTTTATTTTTTGTTTTTTTAGATTTAATACTTTTATTATTTTACGTCTCATTAAGTATATTGTGTTTCATGGTGAAATTACTGTTATGTTTTACTGCACTATCGGTCATAATCACTGCACAATAAACTTCATTAATACATTCATTTACTGACATGTACAACATATATATTGTCATATTCACGATCATATTCAGTGCCAATGTCCAATGCTAATATTTAATGCATGCCCACAAACCCTAGTTTTAGAAAGTTCTAATTTCTAAAACATAATAGAAAAAATGAAAATGAAAAGCAAAATAGAAAAGAAAAGATAAGCAGCGCCGCACTTCAATCACCAAGTTGCTACAAACCCTATTTACTGTCTGCCTCACCAAATTGCTAAAAGCACAAACCCATCGTCGTTCACAAAAACTCCAGCTCGCATTAATTCCTCACGTAACCGAAATTCATCACCTCCGCACTCTCCATCCTCCTTGCTAGGTTTTGGCAACACTCCGGAGGTTAAGGTAGGCACATGGGACAGAGGCGGGCGACTGGGCGGCTGGGCGGCGGCGCGCATGGACCGAGACGGCGGCGGGGGCTGGTGGTCATATTGGTGGTGGCTGCAGCGAGCAATCGTGGGACTAGGATGGCCGGGCAAGCAAGCAACGGATGCACATGTGACCGGCGGTCGTGCTCCGATCCTGGACGGCGACGGACAGCAGGCCATGGAGCGGCGGCAGACAGCAGGCCATGGGGCGGCGGCGGCAGACGTCGGGCATGGGTCGGCGGCGGTAGTGGCATGCGGCTACAGGCAGGTGGACCTATGGAGGTGGGAGAATGGGGGCTAGGGTTGAAAAAAGGAGTAGGAACTTGGGGTTTTATACATATAACTTAAAGGATATATTTGTCCACCTAAATTATTTATTTATTTATTCTGAATTTTAATTAATTATTATGAATTTTAATATTATTTTGGTATAAAAACTAGTTAGATCATAGATTGAGAAAGTGAAGAAGTTTTAGTCATACCTAGGGTAATTATTTCTTTGTATTATCGGGCTATTAAGCAAGTTATACGAAAATATCATGTGTGTGTGTGTGTGTATATATATATATATATATATATATATATATACTAGCGGTATACGCACTACGTGCGATTGTTGCCCAATTCCATTAAGTAGCAATGGACAATAATTTAAGTAAATGTGTTATGGTAGATGATCAATTGAATTGTAACCAAGAATTAACGAAGTAGGATTCATATAATTTCATTACTGCAGTTGAAAGTAATTGGGTTGGTTGAATGGTTATTACATTGTAAATTGATTTGATTTTTGTGTACATTTTAGAGTTCGTTGTGATAAACTGTGATTAAAATGTTTAGGTCATAATGTTATCTATTCAAAGTAAATTTCAGCCGTAAGGGAATATGGATTTAAGTAAGTTATAAGTGCAAAATTCTTGGGGGCAGTATTTACCATTTTGTTAGATAACCAAAATTGTTAGGGAAGTGTTTAAATAGTTTGATAAATGTGATAATTAAAAACAGACTTTTAGTACAAGCCATTACAAAAAATTAAATCTTTTTCGTGTGTGGTGTTTGAATAAAATTTTCATACATTTATGTTACTACTCATTTTAAAAGATTTGATATTTTATATGAAAAGTATGACAACTTTTAATCAAGCCGAATTGTAGATTATAAAGAACTTATTGTTCTGTTTGGTAACATCAAATAGAAATTTGTAGGATAAAATTATAAGACACAAAAGATTATGAATAATTAAGTATTAATTACACAATTCAAATTTTCATACATCCTAAGGCTGTCACAGGGAGCCATTTTTATTATTTTGCATAAGGCTACCTATTATGAGTTATTTTAAATATAGCACATACATGAAGTAGTTGTGTACAGTATAAATATGATCAGGAATTAAGCTAACACTTTAAGTGTTTTTTCCCCAGCCTGGGTTTGTGAGATGTGCTTGGAATATCTTGGGATGAGTCTGTTCCTGCTTTTGGTACTTTTGATTCATAGCTTTCCTCTAGTACAAGTTTCCTCTTTCCTGTTATGGTGCTTTTGTTTGCTTCGGTTTTAGCTATGTCTTTAGTATCTTTCACCACATAAGAAGTCAAATAAAGAAGGGAGATATTTAACTTTGTGTCTTGCAGGGATTTTGGGGGCACATGTTTAACTGCAATAGTGAAGCGCTCGGCCTTGATTTTTTTATTTAATTCTTCGACTTCAACAAATTCAGGAGCAACATTCATTTCAAACAAACGTAGTAACTTGAACACTTCATTAGTGAACAAAGTTGTTTCTAAAACACCAGTTTTGTCACAGAACTCTGCACTTAGACGAAACCTGCCAACACACGTATTAGAAGACATTTCACATGTTTTTTTTTAAAGTATTAAAGATATTTCATATGCTTCTTTTTCAAAAAGTATATACATTAAAATTATGAGAGGAAATATTAAAAGATATTTGACATGTTTCTTTTTAAAGAAGTTATACAAGCATTTGCTGACCTTTTTGTTGCAATTCCATGCTTGCTACCACAATTCAAACACTCATAGTGCACTTCTTCAGTTGAATGCATCCCTTTATTGCATCTGTTGCAACCTGTGTAGTAGGGAATTGTTCCACCTCCAATGAAATTGAAATTACCTTCAACCCATAGCATTTTTGCCTTCAAAATCAGTGTAAGATAAAGTTTACTTTAGAAATGATGCTCATAAATTTACGAACAAAATGGTTACTATGGTTTGTTTAATGTATAGTTCTATACCTCTTTTATACTTTTCAGTACATCACAAACATTGGTCTTTACTTGGAGATGTGGACGTCCAAGAGCGTCTAGTGAATCAATGTAGTGTCCTCTTTTGATTATTTGCTCAATGGCAATTGCATGTGCGCCTCTCCTGTTAAGACAAGACATTAGTATGGCAGAACGTTGTAAAATAATTTTATGAATTAGTAGTAAAAAATGCAACTTTGATATTAAAAAAAAAGTGTGTTGATGGGGTAAAACCATTCTTTCAGGTCATTAGCCTGTTTGGTGATTGGGTTTAGCTCAATGCATGAATCGTATGTAGTAGACAGAGACAATCCTGTAAAATAAATGTAATTACACTTTAGTAGAATATTTAATTTATACAAAAGAGTTATGAAAGAACGTTTTCTCTTAGAGTATAACATATTACTACTCTAATAGAATTTTTTTATATAATTTATATACATATACAAAATCAGACTTGCTTTGGTAAGATGTTACAGCTAAATGTTTTGCAAGAATTATTGGATGTATCCCTGCGTCCAATAATCCCTGAATTTCATGTCCTTGGATGGAAGCAAATTCATTCCACATTGTGACAATGATGGGCTGTGATCTATATAAAATTATAATTATATATACATATTTATTGTAAAATGATTAAGTCGATTATAGTTTTTGGAATCCTTATATACAATATTTCTGCTTTAACTTACTGGTCATCTATAATTACAAAGTCATTAGCCTTTTTCGGTCCATCGGACGTGAGAACGAACTCCCGTGGGAGTTTGCATATTATGAGACCGAGCACATCTGTAGATTAAGTAAATATATTTAATATTGGCAAATGAATATAAATAATGTCATTATCTAGATATAATGATTCAAATGTCATAAAGAACTTCTTACTTATCAATTCCTTCTGTATCATGGAATCATAGAAAGCATTAAAGGGTGTAACTGCTGCTTCAGATTGTGCTACTATTTCTAACTTATCAACTGCATCCACATCTTGTATCAATGTCCTCCTATTGATTGACCAAATGAATTGATATTCCACATCGGGAACATTGAAGTTTGCATAGACATTGGAGACCATTGCATTAGAAATCAGGTAAGTATTATGAAGACTTAGACGCTGGTCGATAACTGAAATTTCATGCCCATAGGCCAAAGCCTTAACTTTGTTTCCCTGTAAAAGATACACTGGTTTTTAAGAATTTAATATGTGCATTAATTTATGTTTATAAAGTTACTTACCACACTGTCTTGGAGCACAAAGGGCTTGTATATTTTCCCAGGATTTTTGGCTGATTCTCGTATGTTGAGCTTCTCTATAACCACCACTTTGCTTGTCCATGTAGCCATGCCTGGAGTTATTTCTTTTATCAAGAGATAGTCTCCCATGTTGCTTGTGTCCTAAAAATAAAAAAGAAAGAAGTTATGCATCAATGCAAATTTGCTTATATATTAACAAAATTGACAAATAGAAAATTTGAAACACATGTGTTACTTACATTTTGGATGTAACATATGAAATCTTCACAATTCATATAGATGGAGCTATGTTTGGTAAAATATATTGCAAAATTTCTTGATACACTATATTTTTAGTTTTATTTGTTAATTTGGTCTTGGCATTTTCTTCATGAATAAGAATTTTCAATGAATCAGCGTTTTTTGCACGTGACATAGCAACGTATAATTGGCCATGGCTAAAGACCGGCTCCTTCAGATAGACCCCAACATAATCTAATGTTTGACCTTGTGACTTATTGATTGTCATTGCAAAACATAACTTCACTGGGAACTGATGTCTTTTGAATGGGACAGGGCATTTCTCATCTTTAGATGTCTCAAGGGGAATTCTTGGTATAAAGACGTGATTTCCTTTATGTTCACCAATTGCAATATAGCAGCTTAATACATGATCACCGAATGAATCACAGATTAGCCTCGTTCCATTACATAAACCCTCACTTGGATTTAAGTTCCTCAAGAGTATGATTGGACAATTTTTCTTGAGAGTTAAAGAATGGGGAGGCATTCCAGCAAATGTCAATGTGTGAAGATAGGCTTGACAATTGGAATATTTGGAATCGATTGGTTCATCATAACTTAAAAATATTTTAGGGTCTCCATAGAACTGTGCAATGAGAATTGAATTAATTTCATCCACAAATTCATTTTTTGTGGTTAAAATTGCTCTCCCTATTAACCAATAAGGATCCTGGTGAAAGGAATGTAAGTTTGGATAAACAAACTTAAATAAACAAGTCAGCGGTGTCTCATTGTTTGGGCAAGAGATTAAGAAATGGTCGGGGATCTCAATCATGTCATCTGAAGAGGTTTTAATTAACCCATTCCCAATCTTCATTAAGTATTCACAAAAATGTGGATCTGTGTATGCTCGCATGTTTTGTAACAATTGTACCCGTATAATCTTGGACCACATAGTTGTTGATTTGACCAAGCAGGCATCAATGAAGTCTTCTTTGTGACCAGATCTTACTACGGGAAGAGTTTGCCTTAAATCCCCTCCAAAAACTATAACTTTGCCTCCAAATATTTCATTGGAGCCCATTATATCTCTTAGAGTTGTATCAAGTGCCTCTAGAAGTTTTCTGTTAGCCATGGATACCTCATCCCATATGATTAATCTTGCCTCTCTTATTAAATGAGCCTCTGCACTTTGTTTTCCAATATTGCAAATATATTTATCATCTGCATCTATTGGTAACTTAAATCTGGAGTGTGCTGTTCGTCCTCCTGGGAGAATGGAGGCGGCGATCCCTGATGTTGCGGTTGCCAAAGCTATCCAATGTTTAGATCTTATTGTAGCTAGCAAAGCTCTATACAAATATGTTTTTCCTGTTCCACCTGGCCCATCCACGAAATAAATGGCTCCCACACCACTCAATACTTTTGTTAGTATTGCATCATAGGCTGCCTTTTGTTCAAAATTGAGTTTATTCACACTTTGAAGATCTTGATCATTGACTTGGAAAAAATACTCAGATCTTGTTTCACGATTTTGCTTTTCCATGATAGAAACTTGGACATCAAAATCTACTAAGTTAAACTCATCTAAGGATTTGCCTAATTTTTCCAAATCTGCAGCAATTAAGCGTAAAACAATGATCTCAATTTCAGATTCTATGTATAGTCCAGTCTTTGCAAAATCTTCGCAAAAATATGGCTTGAATTTCTGCCATAGATCTCTTGGATCAGGAACTTCAGAGAAAATTAAAGCAGACGCAAATAATCTTCGTAAGCTTTGTGGTAGTTGGTATGTAATTGCTTCACTTAGGCATGCCTCAACACCTAGATCTCCATTTAATAGTCCTAATCTTTCGGCTGCATCCCTAAAGGTTGAAGTTGTAGAGCTGTCAATGTGTTTGAGATTATCAAAAGATGTCGGAGCTCTTACATTTTGAAGTAATAACCGCAAGTAAAATCGCTCTCCTTCTGCTGGATTGACGTTAACTATTCTGCCTATGACATGCTTGTTCTTCCTCGGTGTCCAACTTCTATTTGTGCTTGACCATACAAAGTATTCGGGGAATTGTATGTATAATAGGTCAAGTCTCTTGGCATCATTACTGATAGAATTCATTCTGAAAAACTCAGTTAACATTGTCTTAGATTGAACATCATCTTTTAGTATTGTTGTAATTCTTTGACCACCATAGAAGTTGACATATTGGAAATTTTCCAAATGTACTTGTAATTGGAAAACGGATGGATTCATGAGCCCGTTTGGAGAACTCTGTTTTCGGCTTATCAGGCTTATCAGCCAGCTTTTTCACCAAACACGTAACTTTTACTTTCGCGCGCTGAATTTTGTAATAAGCCGAAAAAGTAAGGTTGGAGTTACTTTTCTGGCTGTATTGGCTGAAGTTACTGTAGAGGACCATTTTAGCTATTTTTACATATAATTTTTTCTTTAATTTATTAATAAAATATATTTTTAAAAATATTTTTTTCTTAAATCAGCAGAATCAGCCAAAACAGCCACTCCAGCCAGAATATCATAAATTTCAGCAGAATCAGCCAAAACAGCCGATTTTGGTGCTACCAAACGGGCTCCATATCGGCAATTGGAAATGAAAACACCCTCCAAGCAGCCTCTGGTGCAGAAACCCACCTTGCTTTTTGGAAATCCTGAATTTCATCCACCTCACCGCCACCATCGCAATCTGTCAAGCTTATACTTACTCTGTCATGTCCTTTGTACACGTATTTATATAAATATTTTACACACTTTATTGAAGCACATAGCTCAACATTGATGTGGCAATCGTATTTAAGTAACAAATTTGGATTATAAGGAACAACCCATGTGTTATCCAGAGACATGCCTTTGATGTTCACAGAATTTGAGCTTTGTCTCCTGCGGTAGATAGGGAAAGAGTCTTGATCAAATGATGTTTCAGTGCAATATGATCGAGGATATTTGTTTTTACAAGTAAGAGGTTTTAGTCCTCTTCTTTTAGACATGCAAGGACATTTGGGATTCAATGTACCACAAGGTCCATGTATCATGTGTCGTTTAACAAGGTCATACAAATGAGGTTCTTTAAATCGGCATGGAATTTCAGCAGATATGAAGCGATCACACGCATCTGGATTACTTATCTTTGAGTTTGATTTTAGAATAATGAGAAAATGAGCATGAGGTAAGCCACGCTTTTGAAACTCAATTACATATATGTAAGCTGCCACCTCACCGAAAAACCTCTTCCGCACGATATCATTCTTTAGCTCTTGGAGTCTGCTGTGGAATATCCTCGCAACTATGTCTGGCCTATTTTGTGCCTCATCTACATGTTGTAGAAGTTCTTTGATCTCTGGCCAATTTGGATTACAAGTCATTGTCAAGAAGATATCTGGTTTTCCAATTTGTTGCACAATAGCCATGGCGTCTAGATAACGTTTTCGCATATCACGAGGTCCACCTATAAATGATGCTGGCAAAATTGTTCTTCTTCCCACATCATTACCATATACCATTCCAACATTCATACTGTCGACTATTCCATTATATGTCTCAAATCTTAACTCATGTTGGCGAAGTCTATAGAAATCAAGTCGTTGTGTCTCAATTTTCACATATATATCGACAATAAATTGTTGAAGCAACCTTCCTGTATGCAACAGAAAGCTTCGATCACTTGGCCGCACTTGAAGTTTGTAAGAGTAGTATTCTCTACATGAAACAGATTTCCTTTTCCGACTTTGTTTGGAATTAATTTCTTCAGCTCTTATGACGTCATCTGCTGTGAGCAGTGAACCATTTGCTGGTGTGATGGATTCTAGAATACTTTTATTTTGGGCAGAAGTATCTACATTTGGGAGAACCTTCAATATACCTTCATGCCAACCAATTTCACCCTTTGGGAATAGTAGAGGATATTGTAATGGGTCGTAACAACCATAGAAATATTGGATGTTTTTAGAGATACCATTGTGAGCATATACTCTAATATTCCGATTCTTTGAACCGATATTGTTAGAGTCATCTACCCAAATTGCAGCGACTTGAGAAACTGATGGCGTGTTATACACCCTTTGGTCCAAACCGGCATCAGAATTCAGTGTGATGCTGAATTCATTTTCAAGTGAGATGTCACCCAAAGTTTTAAAGAACTGAGCATAAGGATTGTTTGACAGTAAATCAACTATGTTGCAAACAACATACTTGTCCAATCTATCACAACTGTTCAAACGTTTTTCAATCTGTACTTCTGTGTCGTAAAAGTATAGTTGTAGGTTGTGTGGTTCAGCAGTAGTTGGGACTAAATTGTCTATGTAATGGTAAATTTGGCCTTGGACTTTGAATGTGTATATCCCTTTGTTTCTCCGACATAAGTCTCTATCGTAGTTGTATATTCCAATTGAAGTGAAGGCAAATGTGTTATTGTAGGTCCTAATAGAGGCTTGGAATTGCCTTGACCGTGTGTCTTTGCCTATATATAAATCTCTCAAGATAGAAGGCATATCGGTTGTAACAAGAACAACTTGACCTTGGCAACAGCAAAACCCTAGAGACTCATATTGTATTCTCTTAGCCCCACAGTAGCAGCAGTTCGGAATTTTTGTTAAACAAAAGGGTATATCAAGATATTTGGATTGGCAGTGGTTGTCTGAGTATGGTAAGTAGCAAGAATTTAAGTATCGTTTGTTGGTGAGCATATGTATATATATATTTAGAAGTAGTTGTGATGTGTGAATGGGTTGTTTGCAAAAAAATAGAGAAGAAAAGTTAGTTAGTGTTCTAGAAAGTTAGTAATTAGTAGAATGAGATTTTTGAATGAAAACGGTATAAAACCTTTAGGGCAGTTGCTAAAGCTTAGAGGTTGAGGTTGTTGAGTTGCGGGATTGTTTTTTTCTTCTTGGTCCTTTTGTTCTTGGTAACGTAATCTACGTCTAAAGTTTTTTTGAGCAAGGCGTGATTGAGGGTTTTTACTATGTTTTGAACATTCACCTCTTTCCATGGTGTTCTGTACACAACAGGTTGGTATGTTAGACTTATGAATGGCACAGGGAGATTATATCAATATTAATGTTTTTTATAATAGTACATTAATAGACTAATAAAGACATGGAGGACACATAAATAAATGAATGATTGAATATCTCCCCTTATAATATAAATATATAATCATGTTTCTAGAGTAGCTATATTTTTTAGGTAGGAAGTTACCTTTATCTGCAAGCAGCTTGTTTCTTTTTGGGACAACCTGTGATACATAATTCCAAATATAGTTATTAGAAATTTAAAAATGTAATGTTGTGTGTTACACGGTGTATAAAGGAGGAATCAAAAGTCTTAATTGTGGAATAGCAAAACTTCCATAAGGATTCATAATGTCCAATTCTATTTTTTTTTTTGTTAATTCAACGTATCCACTATAAAAGCAACAACGTTTTAAAATAAACTTTTGGCTGAGAGAGTTGTAAATATACATTGCAAAAGGCAGTTGTGATGGCTGAACCTTATTTCTATTTGTAAATATGTTTATTCGAAAACTACAATAAAGTAAGATGTAAAAAAAGTCCTTTTGATGAACACATTTTTCATAATATTTTTCATAATATTTTTTCCAGCATACTCTAAGGAGTTCTATAAAGTACAACCCTGACCTTTTACAGAGTTCTATATAGTGTCATATTGTACCAGATTGTAAAGATTGCAAAAGAAGTCACACTTTTACTAATTTTGTAGGTGTTCGTAGACTGTTTGAAAGAATGCCTTAGTCAATGTTAGTAATAAATATCGTGTCTGAAAATTCATAGCCCTTTAAACTGTAAGAAGTTGGCTGGTCTGAAATCTGAACTCACACTAAACAAAAGACACTTGTTGTCCTTAATCTGATCTATGTTTAGTAATCAATCATTAAACTATTCAAAGCTTTCTTTATAGAACTCTACATATCTGTTTTATTCAATCAGTACAACGAAGCCTAGGGATGAAACCAGAAGCCACTTAGGGTCCAAATAATCTAGGTGTTACTCGTAGTAATTTTGCATTTTTGAGTAAGGTACAAAAAGAGAAACACACTTAGTTGTCATTATGTAAATTTAGTAGTTAGCAGTTCCCTTTAAAGCATTTTGACAAATACATTGGATACAATAACTTCAATAATTGTTTAGAGGCGGACGAGAAGGAGTTAAAGAGGTGTTTTGTGTGATTTGTTAAATACATAATTAATGCAATGAAGCAAAACACAAAAATTGATTACAAAGTAAGATGTACCTTGATTAAAGAGGAACCGTAATACCGAGTAAGATGAGAAGAGTAGAAAGGAAAGAAAACAGAGTGGATTTGCAGAGGCATGGCAACGACCTTGTTTGTACTTCGTATTTGTTTACGATAAAGGCTGGAAGCCTCCGTTGGCGAGAGGGCGTGAAGTAACTGCCTGGATCCGATTCGGTGTGATGCGTAACCAAGGGGCTGGTTAACGGGAGAAGACAGAAGTAGTTATTAAAAGAAGACGACAGTAACGGGAAAAGAACCACACTAACGGAAGATGGCGTTTATATTATAAGGGGAGATAGTAGGGATCAAATGAGAATATAACATCTTATAAGAGAAATAATAATTCATCTCCATCGTTGATTTAGCCAAATGCCTTAACGGACAAACGCTATGCCGTGTCTACGCCGTTAGTGGTTTAATAACGTAACTTTTCACTCTTTCCATATATTTCGCATGTCTTACCACGTAGCACTTGTTTCTTTTTCTTAAGGACTTAACATATATGTGCCCTATTTCTTAATTCGTAATACATTTATTAGTGTACTTTGTGTTTAGATACATTTAATTTTTAGCTTCAAGTGTATTACGTGTATATTTTCTATTAAAAAAATATTGGCATACAATACTTTTTCTACTTCGTACGTGATGCATTGCGGTTTTTATTACTCCGTATTTTTGTTGTTGTTGTTGTTGTTGTTGTTATGGATAAATTGAATAAATTTCACTTTTAGTCGTACGAGTATCACACTGATTCTAAAATTGGTCCACATCTTTGACTTTGAACATTTTTGATACATGATTATTGTGCTTTCGTCCATATATGTTCCTTGTGAACAAATGGTCAAGAAACATTAGTCAAGTGTCAAAAGTGGATAAAGTGAAAGACGTGAGCTAAATATGGAAATGACATAAAAGTCGTAGGATCAAAATTAAAGTGAGATTATTTCTGCATAAATTTATTAGTTATAAGACAAAATTTGCAAACAAATAAAGTTACAATACAATGCTAATAGCGGGCACTATAATATTCTTAAAAGTGCATGCATGCTAAGCTAGCAAACATGGAAATCATAAAATAATTACTAACGAGAATTATTTATTTATTTGAAAGTATGGATATGCACAATTGTGCACTTGACATGTAAGTGAACAATTATTTTGATTGGAATGCATGAACATTATAGTTGCACTCTATGGGGATAATAGTGCACATTGTAGTTAAACATTTATCACAATAGATACTAACTACATTTTTTTTTGTAAATATAGATATTAACAGAATTTAAAGCAGTAAATTATATGTATTATTATATATAGAGATGTAAAGAATCATCGCAAACAATTTGTTTTGGTAAATGGTATGATAATACACTTTGAATAAAATAAGATAGCGATGTAAAAAAGAAATTGAATGAAAATGAATCTGATCGCTAACAATTGTGGATGATGTGAAACAAAATTGTGCATTATCATGAATCACAAAGTGAAACTACAATTTTTAAATCAAGTAAGAATTGAACTATGCATTATCTTAAGTATAACTGTGCAACGTCATTAACCAAGATGTGCATTGTTTTAGATCACTCTCATTTGTCACGTGAAAACTCATTCCCACCAAAATCATACCCTAAGCAATCATAAGTGTATTTGACATGTTAAATGTTGAGTACACTTTTAAAGTTGCACTATAAAAATAATATAAGTGCACAAAAAAAATGGAAATGAACAATATTTATAAAAGTGCATTGTGATAACAAAAAAGTTGCACAAACCAAAATAAATAATAAACTATACTATTTATATAATATGGTGGATAATAATACAATGTAATATATGTATACTAAGAAATAAAATAGCAATTCAAATAGAGAAATAAAAATGAATCTGTGCGGTTGGATTTCAGAATTGTGCATGGTGTGATATAGAAATGTGCACCACCATCAATAACTAAATGAGATTAAGTTTATTTCAAATAAGTTGAATACTTGAATATTTTCTTATCATTTAAAATGTGCATTATTTTAACCATGTCGTGCAACATAGTTAATTATAATAAAGTGCATCATTTTGAATCATTTTAATTTGTCACGTGAAGAACGTTTCCCACCAAAACCATACATTAACTAAGCATAGGGTATTCAATATTATAAATATAGAGTGCTTTTAAAGTTGCAATATAAGAATAATACAAGTGCACTTTTAAAATATTTATCAAAGTGCAGTGTGATGGTAAAAAGTTGCATAAATAATATACTATAGTGTATATAATATGGTAAACGATAAAGAAAATCTATGTAGAATATATCAAAACCTTGAATTTTATTTCAACTATCCATAGTTACACAATCGACTTTTAAGGAAAGCTCGAGAAATGTTATTGGTAGATCCGTAGATACGTACTCATGGTTAATTTAAGTTAACGTGATGACGTTCCGTTAGTGGCTTGAGATTTTGCAAATTTTCGTTTATGCCACCGTTTTACTTATGTTTAATACCATTGATTTAAGATTTTAGATGATCATGATTTGTTCTTATTTCTCTCCTAAGCAATCATTCTCACTTGAACCTTCCCCTATATATATATATATATATATATATATATATATATATATATATATATATATATATAATAGAGATCAAATACAAATCATGCTTAATTTACAAAGTACAACCTTATCTTGGTCATCCGATAAATTGATCTAAAGGATATAAAGGCAAGGTGGCATTTTTGTAATAAAATCTAACTTTTCTAGGGTGCAACTCGTTGAATGTTAATGTGCAGCTGCTATTTTATAACTATATAATATGCAACACTTTGAACCTCAATATGCAATGCAAATAACGTCAAGGTGCATCGTGCAAATATTTTGCACAATAAGCACAGTTTGTAGTTGAACGTTCCCCTATATATATAGAGTAATGATCCGGTCAGGAGTTCCTGACCGGAACCGCCGTCCGGACCGCGGCGTTTGGACGCCTTCCCTGTGGCTTTTTTTGATGAAATTTTTATGACATGTTCTCCATCAAGTCTAGTTTATCCACACAAAAATTCAGCCAAAAACTCAATCTGGAAGGTGGTCAAATGATTTTTGCAAGTTAACTGGTCCGGAAAATACATATTCTGGACCAGTTAACTTGCAAAAATTATTTGACGATCTTCCCGATTGAGTTTTTGGCTGAATATTTTTGTGGATAAATTAGACTTGATGGAGAACATGTGATAAAAATTTCATCAAAATATTCCACCCGGAAGGCGGCCAAACGCCGCGGTCCGGACGGCGGTTCCGGTCAGGAACTCCTGACCTGAACATTTGTGTGTGTGTGTGTGTGTGTGTATATATATATATAGGGTTGGGTTCTAATGAGAACACCCCTTAACGTGAGAACGTGAGAACAAATCTTAACCATAGATCTTAGTAAATTTATGGTTAAAAATGGAGTAGATCTACGGATATACCATGGAGGTGCAAACACTTAAAAAAAACCATGCTCTCTCTTTCTAATTAAACGTAGGTTAGATGGACATGATAGTCATTTTAAAAAAAATCACACGATTGAGGGGTTGTCATTTCCCTAAAAATTAGGTAATAATAAATCTCAAATCATATAAATTTCTTTAGTTTATAAATTGATTTAACTTCTTAAATAATAATCCAATTTTAACAAAAAATAAACCAAATTAAATAACTTTTTATGCTCTTTCATATGACATCAATATGTCATATATAATTTTTAAAAATAAAATATGTATAAGATGCATACAATAAAGAACAACAATCATTTCTATCTACCTGATGCACAAGAACATGTATCTAACACACAATCACCGATATCTAATGCATATGAGATGACCCCGTACTCAAAAAGAAAGTGAAGCTTGTTGTATGTAATATATACAAACCGATATCTAATGCACAATAAAATTATGCAAATTCTAGAGATTGTGTAGTTCAATAACATAGTAGTGGGAGCTTGTTTATATTGAATAACATACTCCGTATTTGAGTTTACAAAGCGTAGGTGTGCACTACTGCAGTGGATTTGTGCAGTAATATGCAAATGAATTAAGTGTATAGGCGTATAAAGTTATGTGCACTAGTGTGATGGTTTAGTGCATGGGGCGGAATTATTTGTGATAAAGTTATGCGCGCTAGTATGATGTTTTAGTGCATGAGGTGAAATTATTTGTGATAAAGTTATGTGTACTAGTATGATGTTTTAGTGCATGGGATGGAATTATTTGTGATAACTAATAAATTAAGTATAACAATTAAAATCTAAAACTAAAATACTGGTTTTACAAACAATAACCAATATTTAAAACACATGAATAAACCATCTTACTATTAGCTAGGATATAACACACTACAATTAATATCTGATGCAAAATAAGTGAATAGAAAAGAAATTACATTTTAATGGAGAAGAACATGACATAACAACAAATTGAATAAAAAGGAACAACATTTCCAAATAAACATGCAAAAAGTTCTCTAAAAGGAAATCTTAATTCCGTGAGTATGTTCTTTGATTTTAAAAAATGCAAAAAGTTCTAATGGTGTTCCGTATTATATGGAATTTAATGCTTCCAATGATTAAAAAGTCAACTTCGGATGAATGTATTAACTTCATTTAATCAGTTACCAAAACCGCTTAGCAATAAAATACGTAAATAACCTTCACCTAATTTAAGTTGAGCGTAGATCGGATCATTTGATAGATGGTTGTGATTTGTTCTTACGTTCTCACGTTAAGACTCGTTCTCATTTGAACCAATATATATATATATAAATGAAAAAATCTGTGTACATATGTGATAAAATATTTACAAATATATCCTTATATTTTTTAATATTTACGTGTTTCCCCCACGTTTCGTATCCTATATTTTCTAGAAATGACGTTTCTCGTCAGGGGCGGCCCGGTATGTTTGAGGGCCTAGGGGCGAAACGTTAAAACGGGCCCAATTTTAAAAAAAATTCTAAAACTTTTTTTCCTCTAAACTAACATGCATAACAATAATAATATTTCAAAACATTTACAAAAAATTGTAAGACCATCTTCTGCCTAAAACAAAAATACTATACTACGTAGT